GACACGCAAGCCCACTCTACATGGCACTGCCTATGGAAAATGTCAGGACATTTCAGTGGTTCCAACAGCCAGATGGCTAAGTGGGACCACCCACAGGGATCATACAACCCCCCACTACCACCACCACCACCCCATTACAGCAGCTCCACTGGCTGCCAGTCTGTTTCCGTGCAGAATGGCTTGGGCCCAAGCTGTTTCAAGGGCCGCATCTTCTGGGCAGAATTCAAAGTGCTGGTTCTCACCTATAAACCCCTGAATGGCTTGGGCCCAAGCTGTCTCAAGGGCCGCACCTCTCTTTATGATTGCACTTAAATGTTAAGTTCATCAGGAGAGGCCTTTCTCTCAGTCCCACCACCTTCACAGGCAGGGATATGGGAGAGGGCCTTCTGTGTTGTTGTTCTCAGACGCCCTCCCACAGGAGGCCCGACTGGCCCCATCTTTGCTGTCCTTTCGCAAGTAGGCAAAGACCTTTCTCTTCAGACAAACTTTCCCTGAGTGACTGGCTGCCTGAGTGGGATTATAAATGGATTGTTTTTCTTTCCTGCTTTGAATCTTTTTGCTATTACTATTTTTTTTCATATTTTATTTGTTTGATCCTTTTCTATTCATATACTCACTGCTGTTAGTGTTAGATACTGTCTTTTAATGATGTAAGCCCTCTTTTGTTTCATCTCAAGGGACCTGCCCATTCATCTCCAGTTTAGGCCCTAATGTTTCAGGGAAAGGGAAATTGCTGACCTGGCTAACCTGCCCACTGCAATATGATAAGCTTCCCTCACCACTAAACAACTGGCTTGCATACAATTGACCAAAAGGAACCAGTTGCCACTTCATACAACTAATCCAACATATTGCATCCCACTGTGGCTCCTTGCAGGCCATTACTGAACAGCAGACACCCAGGCCAAGAGACAAGTCAACAAATATATAACAAAAAACACCTGCTGTTATGACACCTACTGTAATCTATTTTGCGGCATGTATACCATTTTGTATTAAAATGAATAGAAATAAACTGAAATCTAAGTTTCTCAGTATGTCTCCTGCTATGTAATGGAAGTATGAAGTTAGATACTGAGATGCCAGCCAAGATGACTACTATTTAGAGTGAGCCCAGTCTTTCAAAATAAGGAAATAAGCAGAGTCTCCCTTCCACTTTACAGCTGATGCCCTCTCTCTCAATCACTTCTTCAAAACAGCTTCAGCTCTCAGAATAAAACAATCTGGTAAATCATTTGGCCGTTCAGGATCATAACAGATGCTTTAAGCAAATTCACCTTTAATTTTGCAGCATAGCTTTGAAGGAAAAAATTAGAAATGTCACAGTTACTCATATTCTAAGTCATTACTTTTTTTTCCTGAGGATACTGTAATTTGTAATAACATTTCAGAAATAATTCAATTAATGCAGATGATTTTTGTATGAGGATGTGTAACACATAACATTTTCTAGTTACTTTTACCAATTACATTTAAGGAGCACTTACGGAGGAATCTGAGTAGTTTTATACCTACATTTGTTGTGTGACAGCTTGCAAAAAAAATAATTATTTAACAGAAACAATTAATTATTCTGAGGGTTGTAGTAAGTTACATAATGAATTACTTTTGACAAGAGGCTTTATAAATTCTGCTTTGCAGCCATAAACCTTGTATCATAGTGGAAGGGGCCAGCACAGAATTACTTCCTAATAATTAACCAGCAGTTGTATGGCATGCCATTCGTGTCAGCTGAAACTTATATATTGATTTCAGGATGCTAATAGCAGAGACAACATTTATCATACTCCAGTCAGGAGGTGAGAGGTGCAAAAGAAGATTTCAGCTGGAGAAAGTAAGATTTACAGCGAGGTTCAAGAGCTTGAATGCATTAAAACGTCATTGCTATGAAGCAATATATTTTAAGAATATTTCTTGTAGGTACATTCTTCATAATAAATAAGAAATATGTGATTACTTCTGAGGAGTAATTACATGTGATCTACAGCCAGTTGGCAGCCTTGTTCAATTGTGAGTTTGACTGTTTGGTTGAAGATTGCCCTGGAGAAGTCCCCTGCCCATTTCTTCTTTCTTGGGGTACATAGTGCTGAGATTGTGGGATGTCTCTTCTATATATCCTTGGGCCTGATCCTCATAAAGTGTCACTTCTAAACAGGAAGTGTATTTGGTGGGTGGGTGCTCTAAACCTCAAGAAAACCAAAAGACTGCAAGGTAAGTACAAAAACCCCACACAAGTACATTCAGAATCTTTGCTCAAGATTTCTCAGGACAGACTAGATCATCTCTGGATTGCTTTCATCTTCTTCTCTTCACAGGGCAAGAGCATTGTGAAAGACACTGAGTCTGAATGGAGTAAATAATGTCATTCTACTTTGTCCTTATAGAGATTTGCCCCACTAAGCCGGAAAGAATCAAGCTGGAACGCCCTTGCCTGTGGCAGGAGTTCTGTGCTGACTTATCTTGTTTTGCAAAAATTATTATTATTATTATTATTATTATTATTATTATTATTATTATTATTATTATTATTATTATTATTATTATTATTATTATTATTATTATT